TGGGTTATCATCAGGTTTTCCGAGGTAAAGCGTGTTAACAAAATGCGTAATACCGCCCGGTCACCCCCACCCTTTTGTGAATATGTGTTAATAATTAAAACATCCTTTTACATTGAAATAAAAAAAAAACTTATGTTCATTTTATTTAATTATGCCTCAATATCATACATCATTACTACTAAAATTTTATTATTTGTTCACATATTATAATGCATATTATTCTATATAAATCCGGGCCTTCCTTATAAGCGATACTTAAAGCGATACATAAAGTAATTAATGTAGTAAGTGGTACTTCTGTTTATATATCTTCTAAATAGGAGCAGATATACGAGAGAAAACCTTATCCCTTACATGGAGAAATCTCATCGAGGCAGCTGGCAAATTAAAATTCCCCCCATACTCGCAATATTTCTGGCCTCGGAAGAGGAGGACACTTTTGGTGATTGGATTATTTCTCCGTGGAAGGAGAATTTTTATTCCCACTAGATCCATCGATCCATCATTATATCAGAGCTATACCATCGACTTTGCTTCGTTACTAATGCTCGCGGTTCACCTTTCACCTAATTAGAGGAAAAGCTGGGGGTTATTGATGGTCTATCGTCCAAGATCGAACCATTCCTATAACAATCCATTGCTACTATTTTTGGAACCCATCCAATCCAACGAATAATAATAGGTTGAATAAATAAAACCTCGAATCTCCGGGTCTAACTTTTACAATAATGATGCTACTCACCAGAAATACACTCTTATTTTCTCGTATTGTGCCTATCGAGTATATAAAATATCAAGCTAGTATTTTCAACTATACATACAACCTCGCTATTTTTATTTTTCTGAACATGTCTGGCACAATATAGCAGAGTATAGAAAGTTTGTTTGAACATGCTAATATCATAAATTACAACCGTCAATTTAATAACTCTTTTTGAGTTACATAGACTGGTTTAACCATTGTAGAAAATCGAAGTCGACTTAACGCAAAACCAAGTTATTTATTTCCTACAGACAATGGCATATTTACAGTAGTAATAAAGTTTACAGTAGAGGCTACTGTAAGTTTTTATTTCGCAAGTTTTCTCATGGAAACTGCTGTTCTTTATAATATCAGGAATTCAACAACATGCTGTTAATGTTACTTAATTCATAAATAAATGTTACTATTATACATAAGTAAATGTATGTAATGTTTTTGTTCTATTTCTGTTTCAGGTATTGACAGTTGAAAATGTTCAAACCTATCACTAACACTTATACAAGCATCTAAGGTACGATCCAATAACACAATTATTATATAAATAGTTTATTTAGCATCAAATTTATTTACAACTAATCGAATGATACGCTGCATTTTATTTCAAAAAGAAAAGATAATAAACAAAAAAATCTGGCGAGAAATGATATGAGAAACCATCTATTATCATTTTTATTTCTAAGTAATTTTATTTAGAAATAAATAAATAACTAATTAGCGGAATAATTAACATGAGTAATTGGTCAGTAAACAAATAATGACATATAATATAAATCAGTAAATGAAATAAATTTTGTGGGTTTTTTTTTCGGTACGAAGCTCCATTATCGAAAATTTGTGTACAAATTCCAGTCTCAAGTTTTTTCCTAGGAGATAAAGGTATTTGAAGACATTATCGAAAGCAAATCTTAAAAATATACGTTCAATGATTGGATTGGATTTGATGAAGTATTGAGGAATATATAATACAATAAAGCTCTTTTAAGGTATAATAATTAAATTATATCAATGTGTATTTAATGGTATGATAATACAAAATATAACATATGTGTATTTCCTTTTTCATTTTATTCAAAATTTATATTTTATTCCTTAACTTATAGGATTTATAGAACATGGTTATGGTGGTTTTCGAGGATGTGAGAGTTTATTATATTCCTTATCTTTATGTACTTTATATTTAGTTAGAGTTTCTCAAATATTCAAGAACTAAATAACTGCGAATTTTTCTGCTTAGACTTTTTTTTTTCCCTTGCTAACCTTTTAGGCTATACATGGATTTTCCCGGGCTAGGAGGTGAAGGCGGGAGATAATGCCACCACCAGAGTTAAAAGCAACCACCGGTACTTATTTTATCGTCTTAAACTTCGTTTATCAGGTTTATGGGGAACGCGCTTCTTTGCAAAAGCGTTAGCCCGCTCGGCCACCTCGCCCCCATGCTCAGACTTTTATTAGTCGTATTTTTCTCAAAATTAATATACTTTTAGACTGTATATGTCATCTGAGCGAAATGGCGGTGCGTTATATATTTTCCCGAAATATGTTTTCAAATCCTCCTTCTCATCAAATAATATTAAATTATGTATATTTTCTAAGATGAATAATACCATACAAGTGAAAAAAAAATCTGGAATGAACAGGCGGCTTTCAGCTTTTTTTTTTCTACTTCAATTTAAAGTCTTGCGGATCTCTCTAACTCAAAACGAGTAAGAGAGCTAAAAATTTGTAAGCGAATTGAATTGTTGATATATAAGTGACTTTTGAGGGTCGGTTTCCCCGCAACTCAGCAATTTCGATAAATGAAATTCGAAAATAAATTATGAAATGTTTAAAAGGAAAAAAAGAGAATGAAATTCTGCAATTTGATCTATTTCAAATTTATATCCACTTTCCTCAGAAAATAATTAATAACTAAATATCTGTTTTCCAAATAAAATAAAATACAAAGCTATAGAGAGTTCCATTTTATTATTATTTTTTTTTACAAAAACAGCAGTTATGATAAAGCTTATATTTGTGCAACCGAGCATGGGGTGCAGTATATGCAACCCACGACTGCAGCGATGCACAACAACCAGGACCGCCTCATAAACGAAAGTGTTTCGTAAGAGAGGACCGGTTGTTGCCTCGTAATATGGAACCAGGACTCTAGCAATTGGGACACTGGGCTAGCTTGAGGTCCTTCGCCGACCAGAAATACCACAATGTCCTCAGCTTCCAAACAGCTAGCATGCAAAATGGAACCAAGCACCTGTTTCCTTCATTCGCTGATAAGAAGGAAAATCCATTGAAGTCATCAAATTAAAATGAAATTAAAGTCGTCTTAATAAAAAAAAAGTGCTCAGTCTTGTTCTGACCGGTTCTATTAAAAATAAAAGGGGAGCCTTTACAATCCAGGAGGAATATATGGTAAGTGCCAAAATCATGAAAAATAGATAAATAAATAAAAAGTGATATAGCCAGGATGCGTTGTCACCAAATGTTTGTATCATGTTCACACTTTATGGAGGCAAAGCCCAGAAGAAAACTGTAAAATAAGAAAAACATTTAATTTGATTTAAATGAACATTTATAAGGACTATACTTGGACAAAAAACTCACCAGGAACATTCATAATAAATTTTAAAAAAAAACAAGAACTGACCAGCCGATACAAACAACTGTCACATCTTTTAGACTACAGATCTCCACTCAACTTACTAAATAAGCGACTAATCTAGACCACTATACTAAGACCTATTTGGACATACGGAGCAGAACTTTGGGGTTCCGCAAAAAACACACACATAAACAAAATTCAAACCACACAATCCAAAATACTTCGTAAAATCGTCAATGCTCCTTGGTTTATTTCAAATCACACCATACACACAGACATGAACATACGAAAAGTAAAATCCTACATACACAACAAGTATAGAACATTTCACTCTTCTACTCTCAATCATCCAAATCCACTCGTTCTATCTCTATCTTCCTCCCTGTTACCTGGTGAGATTCATAGACGACTAAAAAGGCAGTGGCCTAGAGATCTGCTGAAAAGTTAAGAAAATATCAGGAATTCAAGAAGATATAATCAACAAAAACACATTTGCTTGATGCTTTTCAACGCAGTGGAAAATTTAAAATAACAAAAAAAAAAATTAAATAAAAATGAACATTTGTCAACAAGTCATGTAAAGTAGTTAAAATGGCTGCCTATTAGTGTTGCCCAAAATTGAGACCACCTAAATATTGCAAGACTAATACCAAGGCTGGTTAAAAAAATTCGATTTTTTAAATCAAAATTAAGGTATAATTGTTACGAATACAATTTTAGTTAATATATTAAAGAATTGATATAACCAATATACTTTTCCATTTAATTCTTCTAATTTTTCATTAGGGCTCAGTTACTTTTCGCCTATCTAAAAAAATACATTAATATCTCTATAGTACTAAATTAATAGGTAACTGCAAGACCGTTGCGAGACTCTTGCGTAAGAACAAGACCTAGACCAAAACTGAGTTTGCAACAACAAGACTAGTCTTTCGAATTTGTGTATTCGGAATTGATAATTTTCATTTGTGGTTTATGCATGCAAAAATTTATTTTCTTTAGGCTTCGTCCGAACCTATACCTACAAAATTTCAAGATCTTAAACTATTTCCTTCGTTTTTGCTTAGGAGATATATATAATATACTTATTTATTTATATTTACTGTTGATATATATGTGTTGTCTTTGGTCAATATTTAGGTGATCTCGTTTAATTAAATTCCTAACGATTACTGAATGACTTCTGAACGATTTCTGTTTTGAGTTATGTTTACATTTTATACCCTGTTGTATCTTTATAAATTGAAGTATTCCGTAGGATAATGACTTGATGCCGAGCTCATATTAACTAATTTTAAACCTAAATGAAGCGGGACATATGTTAATATTTAGGTCTAAACAACTCGACGTTCTTCGAATTGTTTTAGTTACAAATAGTACAGCTTTCTACCCAACTTATGCCGATACAATTTGAAAATATTGAAATTACATCTTAAATAAAAATGTGAAATTTCCATAAAGCGATGGAAGGCAACACAATTAATGAGTTTAATAGTGAATATAAATGTTCCAACTTCACCCACCTCATTTCGATTATAGAAGTTAAAATCGAGTAACGGAGATCGTTTCGATTAACATTTGGTCAATTAGCACTTTTGAGATTACTATCAGAAATAAAAATTATTGTATGTGGGTACTTACCCATTTCAGGAAAAAAATCCAGTCTGCTAAACGAAGCTGCTAAGGATGTGGTAACTTCTTCTGCTACAGGATGTTAACACTCAAACCGAATAGTAATGTAAGTGATAAACCGCACAAATACAATTCGAACTTATCACTATGGATATCAACCACACTTTATCAAACATATGTTATATTAAAGGTTAATAAAGGTTTCAATTGTAAATACAACCATCTACTTTGAGCTGATAAATGATTAATGAAAAAGTAATAAAATTGATTTTAAAAGCTTATTTGGCTTGTATTTTTTACGAAGGATTTTTTTTATTAAGATAAAATGAATCATTAAAAATTTGAAAAAGTAGTCCGTGGTATAGACCCCTTTTTATCGAATTATTAAAATCCGCCTGAAACGTATATAGTTTCATCTGATCCTAAGCTACAGCTATTTTATTAGCGAAAATTCTTGAAATTTGGGCATTTTCAAGCTGAAGGGGAGTAAACTTTATCTATCTAATTAGGTACTAAACACCTGTAAATATACATTGGATTTCTACTTGAATCGTAAGATAATTTGATCACAAAATCAAAAAGGCGGCCTTCTAAAATATTGAGCCGTTTAGCGTGCGTGTCCTACATTCCCAAATTTTCGAAATAACGAGGTTATATAGGACAAAGGCTCAATATTTTTGTAGGCCACCTTTTTTTATCGATTGTGAGATAAAATTATCTTACAATTCAAGTAGAAAGCAAATGGGTATTGACGAGTTTTTACTACTTAATCAAATGGACAAAGTTTTCCTCCCTCCAGATTGAAAATGCCGCAATTCCAAGAGTTTTCCTAACTAAAATAGTTGTAGGTTACGATGAGATGAAGCTATTTACGAAGTTTCAAGCGGATGTTAATAATTCGATAAAAAAAAAAGGTTCTGTACCACAGACTACTTTTTGAAATTTTTAATGATTCCCTTTTGTTGTATCCATATAATCACTTGAGCTCATTGAGATTTTCGGCTCATATAACCCTCCATACGTATACCTGATTAACCCATGTAGAGAATCGAATATTTTCCTCGGTTTGAATGATTTCATGATGAGGGCAATCGACTATAATTGATGATCTATGATTACGATTAATTTGAAAAAAAGAGTGAACTTATTGTGAAATATTAGTGAATTTATAATTTTTTAAAAATTAATTTCTCACATAGTGGCCATGCATACGTATATTTATTTTATCTATAAATTACTATGAACGCCTTATAACATATTTTTGGCATTTTTAAAAAATTAATTCAAGTAAATTTCATATTATAATAAATAAACAGTACTATAATAATAACTGAATAATTAATATCAATTTGAATAAATGATCTTTATTTTAAATTTATTTTATCGGTTTCTAGTTATACACCCGCCATGTACGGGTCATCTATAACAAGTCAGTACATTTCAGAAAAAAAAAAATATAGCAATTAGGTACTAGATACGTTTTAAAGAGCCCCCTAAAAAAACAGCTAAAATTATTAAAATAACGAAGTGTTTGTGCATTTTTTTTCTCAAGTTCTAGACAAACAGTAAACTGAGTGGATAAAAAATAAAGTGGATACAGTTGATAAAAATAAATAAATGAACCCATAAAAAATTGGAAGAAAAAAAACGTTGGATATATACTAGTTGATTACTTTGTTAAAACGCACTGGTTCTTTAGTCATTAGATTGATTATGTTATCAATTCAATCGAAAAAAAAAAGTCGGCCAAATAGTGTTTACACCCAGTTTGTCTTAATGAAACAATAAAGCAATAAAATAAAGTTGTTAGAATGATTTATTCTATTTTATCTTGCGTTAAAATGTACACGAAAAATAGATAATTTTTTTGTTGTACTATAATTTTACTTAATGTCTCATTTTCGTTTTAATATTTATACGTTGTGTTTTTAATGGCCTTAATTTTGTTTTCATTTATGTGTTTCCAATATTTCTTAACAACATATCAATAAGATAAATAAAAACACAAAAGTACTGAGTATTTTTTTTTTATTTCTAACGCTCCTGTTAAATCACAATATAGGTATATTCTGAAAGAATTTGTCTATTTTTTTTCGCAATATATTCAATTTTAGGATTCGTATCCAAATGAGGCAAAGTTTAGGAAACGAATCGTTTCCTCAGATTGGGAAACGGTTGTGCTGTATAACTCGGCGAGGCGCAGGTGTGGGAAAGCTCTGTTGCTCAAAATTTGCGCAAGAGGCTGGAGAAGAGTCCTGTTACGTCTTCCATCTTGTCCAGTCGGAGCGAAATGCCAAGGGTCATCCAGAGCATCTTACGAAAAGAGGAAAACATCGGAAATAATCCAAAGAGCTTTTTGGCATTTATTTATATTCAATAATCGTTTATCATTTAAGCGTTTATATTTTATGGAGAATCATCAGATCTATTTTTAATGCTATCCTTAATTAATTTTTCGTTAAAACGGTCATGTGGTGAATATTAAAAAGACACTTCTGAAATACAGTCCTAAGTTTTTTGAAATATTCTGTTCTATTATAGATTCATTTCATTTTATATGTTATACAGTGTGGCTATAAAGAGTGTGTACACGATCGATCGACTTAAGTCATCCTGTGTACTTTGTCAGACTTATCTTAGTTTACCCAATGGGCGCAGTATAACTCAAATAAGATTGAACAGTCGGCCTACAAAAATGTGTGCTTTCTATGTTTTGAGTTATTTTTATTATCTTTTATAAATTTCGAGGTTGTAAGTGAAGGATATCACTGTATCTACTCTACTGATAAACTCAATATGGGTATTAAGTAATTGTTGGTATTTGTATTAAACTATGTATATAGCGGTAAAAGAAACATCCTTTAAATGATGATCTATACTAAAACCTTTTATTATAAGTCTTAATCCGTGGTACAGACCCCTTTTTATCAACTCATTGACAGTCATTTGGCGTGACCTACACCCCCAACATTTCAAAATAACGAGGTTATAGAGCCCTAACGGCCCAATATTTGTGTAGTCAACTTTTTTTTTTTTCGAATTTTGAACAAATTATCTTACGATCCAAGTAGAAAGCAAATGTGTATTTACGAGTTTTGAGTACCTAATTAAATAGACAAAGTTTGATGATCTCCAGATTGAAAACGCCACAAATCCGAGAATTTTCGTAAATAAAATATTTGTTAGTTGCGATGAGATGAAGCTACTTACGAAGTTTCAGGCGGATGTTAATAAGTTGATAAAAAGTGGTCTAATCCACGGGCTATCTCTAATTAAATTTTGTAATTAATTAGGAACCAACCGAATAAGTAGCAATTTCGAATGTTCGATTGAATCAAATCTATAGGTTAAAATGTACAAAATAAACTTTTAAAAAATCCAATGATGGCGAAAATTAAAAAAAAAAAATGTTTTTTATCACAAATAAAAAGAATGGAGTAATAATTTGGAAGAAATATTAAATCCACCATCATTTTATACGATGATGGATGGTCATAGCTCATGGACTAACACGTATGAGAAAAAATATTACTAATGAAGCTTTATTTCTTTCTTTTACAAAGAAATGAAGTGATCGATCGATTCCCACGATTGTCGGAATATCTTTGATTGACAAGACGCCCTTGAAGACGCGGTGTCGGAAGGAGGTGTTACGAAGGGACCGCGTTACGGAAGAGACTGCTCGGAGCGGGGGCGGTAGAACAATCGTAATTAGTGAAAGGTTCTCGAGATTGCTCTCTAATTCTGTCCCCTTGGGCTGGGGGAAAGGAAAGTGAAACCCTGTGTGAACCCCTTTCACGGGTGCCCGAGGCCTCTCACCGTCCCTAGGGCTCGCTCGAAGCTGCGCCTGTCAGCGCTCATCCGCGCCCCTTTGTCGTCCGATAGTAGCCTTTTGGAGCCCATAGAGCTTGGATAGGTTTGGGCCGCTTTGAAGAGGCTCGTGGTGGAGAGAGAAGCTTTCGAAAACGTTGTCTTCATCTACTAGTAGTATAAACACCCTGCGAAATAAAACATGAACCAAAATATTCTTGAACTTCCATAGAGCACAACTTTGTGAAATATTAGTCGCATACCAACAGAAATGACCAACTACATTATAGCTTGAACGTTGTTGAAACTTTCAGCTGAAATACAAAAACTTTTACCAAGTATCCACATAAAAAAATATGTATTTTGATAATTTTCAAATATATGAAAATATTATTTATTTATTTGTTTTTATTGTTGCCTCTACCCTGTAAGGTCATTGGCAACACTTCCTATTTATACTCTATTGTAGAATTTTATTATTTTTAAAAATTGTTAGGTTTTTTCCAAGAAGTTTTAGTTGTCACTGAGGTTTTTTTTTTTTAGACTCTGAGCCATATCGAGATTTTTCCTCATATTCTTAAATAAGAGGCAGTCTTGGATGATGTGATATGAAAATAGTAATTAGAGTTTTAAAAAAAATACTGATATTCTGATATATTGAGTCAAGTATGCTCAGAAGGAGGTTTTGTTATGACACCGAAATTGAGAGGAGCACATTTTGATTTTTTGAGAGGGACAAATTTTTGTAATGAAAAGTTTTAAAGGAGAGGACAAGGGGAAAGCACAGTTCAGAATGTATAAAATGTGATTGTATATGATAAACGATTTTTTAAAATTCTACTGAAGTATGAATGTGTTTTTATTTGTTTATTTTTTTTTTTATTTAATGTTGTCTCATGTTTGATTTATGCTTTTATTTCAAGTTCTCTTTTCTTTTCTTTTGTTATAATTTGTTTTTCTTTTATTGTATATATGGAGTGTTTGTGTTTTTCAAATCCTAAATACTCAATGCCCTTAATCGAGGGTAAATATATTTTTTATTCTCAATAAAATATTATTATATCTAAAGAAAAAAGTCTACTTTCGCTTACGCTAAGTATCTTGGTAGGGAGGACAATCATGCACCATCGAACTTGGGGGAGATTAGCATCTCAGTATTGAGTCTTGATATGGTTAATCTTTGGAAAGAGAAGGGATGTAAATACAAAACAACCATATCGAAATATCAATTAAAAATAAATACTAAGTGATTATGACCAAGTGGATATAAGAGTTCAATTCACATGTAATTTAACCTCACATTTAAATTCACAACCTTTATAGCAAAATTGAAACGTTTTTGAAGTGATGGTACATTGT